CGCTTGTCGTTCTGTTTATTATTACTCTTGTAAGATAGATTTTTCGATTATGTAGGGACATCAAGAACTTAATAAGAGTGAAATGAGGTACCTAATTCAAATTTTAGGCTGCAAGAAATTATCAGTAGAAACTTGCTTGCATGCTGCACAAAATGATATGCTCTGAGATTGTGTTTTGATAAGATGTGCATAAAATGAAAATTCTATTTTTCGTTAAAATTGAAAACGAAAAATAATTAGGTGTGAAAGATTGTATTAGGTCCCAATAGATTTTGGGTGTGGGGTGGCTTCATCTTGAGTTTCCCTTCAAGTCCACGCCAATGGTTGCGTTGAAATTGTATAAGAGACGAGACAATTATCATGTAAAAGATGTATCCCATGAGATTTGATTTGCTCCAGGTATATGCACTAGGTGTAGTGTTACGTTGTAAACCTATATCAATAGATTCGAAATTATATATATTATATCAAAGACTTGTTAAAGACATAGAGGGGAAATTAACTTAAAATTTCTTTCCAAGTGATATTATTTTTTTAATCGCTTTTTATATTTATGATTGTTAGGATATTTAAAGTTACAAAAAAGTTGAATCAAAATCTAATAACACATTTCATGATATTCATAATTTTTATCCTTTTCAACCATATATTTCATCAATTTTTATAAAAATTTGTTAAATTTTTTATCAAAAGCTTTGTCAAGCAACTCCTTAATGTAATTCTTAATTCATAGCATAGAAATACTCCAAATTCATAAATAAGATTCGTTTAATAACTTTTCATGATAGGAAACAAGTTGAGGTATAATGCTACAACAACCATTGGCATAATGCCATAACAACCGTACGTGGCATTTATATATTTAATCTCTCTTCGTTTTAGATAAAAATCAGAATTTTTTCTAGATTTTTGTAGAGGTTGATGGAATGTTTGATTCAAAAAATGGTAGATCCTAAAAAATGTAGGATTAAAATTTATTGTTAACTTTAACTTAAATTTTAATATATATTTTTGGTCGAATCAAACAAGATCTTAATATTCTATCTATTACATGTCAATCTAAAGTCTCCATTTCAAAATGATTCAAGGCTTCCATTTTAACCCTGCAATCGAATACTATAAAATCAGAATAATATACGGCAGATTATCATATGCCCTTTTAAGAAGATGACAAACAAATTTAGAAACTGTCAAAATTTACATAGAAATCAACCGAGCTATATACAGGTATTCATTATTCGAAATTGAAGATGTCATCAATATTTTGCTCATGTGTATAAATTTTTAAATCACTTTTATTCACACATTCAATTGAACTCTGAAGCAGTACCCAAGTATCCATCACTTATTTATAAATATTTATGAACAAAATAGTTTATAAACGCACTTTCCAGCATGATGCACTAGCACTTTTATCATAATAATTAATTCCCTAGTTAAAACAAGATCTTTTACCTACTTTTGAAATCAAATCAAATAAATCTAAATTATTGTACTGTAGAAATGAATTACAATGCCAGAAAAGATATGAGAACATGTGTATATACCCCTAACGTAAGTAAAAATAAAATGTTGCTCTAATTAATAACTAAAAACATAAATCGAATCACTACAAATGTAATAACTGACAGGTTAAAGAGACCCCACTAACTCATTCATTAATTCAAGCACAAAACATTTAACTGATAATCAGAGTAATCAAGTTTTGGTGAAGTGTTTCCTTTCCAAAGATAGAGTTAGCTGCATTAACAATTCAAATGTGGTTTATGGTACGAATCAGTAGCATTAAATAAACCCTTTTAGGTGTCTTTCATTCTCAATTTCTCACAAATCAAGATTCAATACCTATCTTTTACTTGCAAATTGAGATGATTTCCAATTTTTTTCTCTCGGTTCTTCTAGGTGTTCTTATTTGCACCACCAATGCAAGAAAGCTTATTGGCACCGAGGGTTCTTTCGGCGATGAGAAAAAGTTCTTCTTTGATCACTAGGATTTAGGAGGTAGAGGGCTTGGTGGAGGTGGTGGTGGAGAGTTCGGTGGAGGAGGAGGAGGAGGAGGCGGACTGGCGGAGGAACGAAAGGAGGTTCTGGTTCGGGAGGAGGATTGGGTGGTGGGTTCGAAAATGGTGCTCAAGGAGGAGGTGGAGGTAGAGGTGGAGGTGAAGGATCTGAGGGTGGTTCTGGTTCTGGAGGAGGATTGGGTGGGGGGGTTCGAAAGTGGTTGTGAAGGAGGAGGTGGAGGTAGAGGTGGAAGAACAAGGGGTGGTTCTAGTTTTGGAGGAGGATTTGGTAGTGGGTTCAGAAATGGTGCTCAACGAAGAGGAGGAAGAGGTTTTGGTGGCGGAGGCGGAGACGGAGGCGGAGGCGGTGGTGGAGACGGATTGGGTAGAGGATCTGGTAGTGGATTTGGTGGAGGAGCTGGTGGTGGAATCCTTTGAGTAATTAAAGAAGTTTTAGTCGATACATTTTCATCTCTTAATAAACCATTCCTCACCTTGCGATTTCATGGATCTGTACAAAAAAAAAAAAAAAGAAAAAAAAAAGAGAGAAAAATGTATAGACTCTTTGAACTACTATATTGAAGATGTTTGATTTACTCAAGATTAGTTGAAACAAATTAGTTAATTTAAATGAGCTTCACTGTTTGATTAATTAGACTGTTTCTATTTCCCATGCTTATTTTTTCCATGAAAATATTTATATTTTACAAGGTTAATTTTTGTTCGTTCTTATGATTGTGTCACAAATTTAAAAAGCAAATTATGGAGTTCATTCCCGAATTTCAGTTTTAATATGTTTAAAGGGAACAATTCCAGCATTAAAATACTATGTTTTCTAGACGAATAAAACCCATCGAATGCATATTTCCATCTTAATAAATCCTATCTAACTTGACTACGATGTTCAATTAAAGGTCAGCTTTGACATGCATGCTTAATCGGGGGGGTCTAATATCACACAAAGGCTTGACAGAAATTAAGCCTCTATTTAACAACCATTATTTCAAAATTCTTTTTTTATCATAATTATTTTCAACTGCATATAATTTGTTTCATGGAATCCCAAAAATATTTTCCATTTTTTAACCTCATAATCACCAAAAAGTTACTATTCAAATATTCATTCTTAACAAAAATGACTATGAAACATAGGCTAAATAGCATGAAATGGAGCCAAAAACATTCTTAAATTTATTGGTCATTTACGTTTTCTACCGTAGACTGACATAGCTCCTATGCTTCATAAATGATTTTTCTGGTTGTTTTTCTACTTGTGAGAAACAAAAGACATAGAGCTGTGAGATCTCCATCGTAAATTTCTTGAATTTAGAGTTAGTTTGAGAGACTTTATTTGAAGCGAATTGGAGAATAAGTGGTTAAAAAAGAGAGAAATACAGATTCAGGCACAAAATTATTTTATTGGGTAAATATATGGTTGAAAATGAGTTTGAGGAAAAATAATTTTCAAATAAGCTATACAAAGCAAAAGCTTAGCAAATATTTGCACCGACGAGTGGGCACAGTTTTTATATTGAGATAAACCAGTGAAAGTGTGTTTCTATGTATACGTCTTCTCATTCATATATATATATATATATATATATATATATATATATATATAATCGTTTATAAACATACTTTCCAGCATGATGCACCAGCTTTTTTTATCATAATAATTAATTTCCTAGTTAAAACAGGATCTTTTACTCACAATTTAAATCAAATCAAATCAATCTAAATTATTGCACTATAGAAATGAATTACAATGCTGGAAAGATGTGAAAACATGTGTATTTACCACTAACGTAAGTAAACATATAATATTGCACTAATTAATACCAAAAACATAAACGAATCACTACAAATGTAATAACTACCAGGTTAATGAGGCCCTCACTAACTCACTCATTAATTCAAGCACAAAACATTTAACTAATAATCAGAGTAATAAAGTTTTGGTGAAGTGTTTCCTTTTCAAAGAAACAGTTATCTGCATTAACATTTCAAACGTTGCTCATGGTACGAATCAATAGCATTATATAAACCTTTATAGGTGTCCTACATTCTCATAATCAAGATTCAATACCTCTCTTTTACTTGCAAATTGAGATGAGTTCCAATTTTATTCTCTTTGTTCTTCTTGGCGTTCTTATTTGCGCCGCCAATGCAAGAAAGCTTGTTGGAACAAAGGGTTATTTCAACGATGAGAGAAAATTCTTCTTTGATCACTAGGATTTAGGAAGTGGAGGGCTCGGTGGAGGTGGTGGTAGAGGTTTCGGTGGGGGTGGAGGTGGAGGAACATAAGGAGGTTATGGTTCTGGAGGAGAATTGGGTGGTGGGTTTGGAAATGGTGCTGAAGGTGGAGGTGGAGGGTTTGGTGGAGGTGGTGGTGAAGGATCAGAGGGTGGTTCTGGTTCTGGAGGAGGATTGGGTAGTGGGTTTGGAAGTGGTTCTGGAGGAGAAGGTGGAGGAACAGGGGGTGGTTCTGGTTTTGGAGGAGGATTTGGTGGTGGGATCGAAAATGGTGCTCAAGGAGGAGGAGGGGGTTTTGGTGGCAGAGGCAGAGGCGGATTGGGTGGAGGATCTTGTAGTGGATTCGGTGGAGGAGCTGGTGGTGGAACAGGAGGTGGTAGAATCCCTTGAGTAACATGCATTCCCATCTCTTAATAAACCATTCCTTACGTAGTCATCAATTTCATGGCTCAATTTAAAAGAAGAAGAAAAAAGGAAAAACAAATGTGTAGAGTCATTAAACTACTATAGTGAAGATGTTTGGTATGTACTCAAGTTTAATTGAAACAAATTAGTTAATATAACCTTCATTGGTTGATTAATTGGACAGTTCAATTTCTCATGCTTATTTCTTCCAGCAAATATTTATATGTTATAAGGTTAATTTTTGTTTGTAGTTATAATTCTGTCACAAATTTAAAACGCTACTTATAGAGCTCGTTCACAAATTTCAGGTTTAACTAATATATTTAAGGCGAAAAATTTATTCAAGGATTATAGTATTATGTTTTCGAAACAAATAAAACCTCTCCAATGCTTAGTTCCAAATTAGTAAATCCTTTAAAAAATTCTACTTTTCATTAAAATTGAAAATGAAAAATAATTAGGTGTGACAAATTTTATTAGGTCTCCATAGATTTTGGGATTGAGGCGGCCCCCTCTTGAGGCACCCCTCACGCTCACGCCGATGGTTGTGTTGAAATAGTCTAAGTGACAAGACAATTATTTTGTAAAAGATGTATCTCATGAGATTTGGTTCGACTCCAAATATATATGTACTTGATATTTTGTTACGTTGTAAAGCTATATCAATATATTCGAAATTATATTAGTTATATTGAAGACTCATTAACGACACAGAAGGGAAATCTACTTAAATTTCTTTCTAAGCAATATTAATTTTATAATCTCTTTTTATATTTTTTTTCCTTCATAATCGATATTGCTTTTGTTGACCAACAATCTTGATGTATGAAATGTTATATTTATGATTGTTAGGATATTTAAAATTACTAAAAATTTGAATCAAAGTCAACCAATAATTTTAATCACACATTTCACGAGATTCATGATTTTTATTATTTTCAATCATATATTTCATCAATTTTTATCAAAATGTGTTAAAAAATTTATCAAAAGCTTTATCAAGCAACTCCTTAATGTAATTCTTAATTCATAGCATATAAATACTCCAAATTCATAAATAAGACTTGTTTAGTAACTTTTCATTATAGGAAATAAGTTGAGATATAATGCGATAGTAGCCGCAGGTATAATGCTATAGCAGCCATATGTGGCATTTATATTTAATCCCTCTTTATTTTAGATAAATATTAGATTTTTAGTAGATTTTGATAGAAGTTAATGGATGGAATGTGAGATTAAAAAGTTGTAGATTTCATGAAATGTAAGGTTAAAATTAATTATTAATTTTAACTTGAATTTTAATATTTTTTAGTTGAATCAAGCATGATCTTAATATTCTATCTATTATATGTCAACATAAAGACTCCATTTCAAAATGATTCAAGGTTTCTATTTTAACCATGCAATCGAATATTATAAAATTGGAACAATATAGGGTAGATTATCATGCCCTTATATGAAGATGACACAAACAAATTTAGAAACTGTCGAAATTTACTTTCAGGCTTTCTTTTTTACGGAGAAAAAATATAGAAATCAATCAAGCTATATATAGTATCCAAAATTCGAAATTGAAGACGTTGTCTATATTTTGCTTGTGTGTAAATATTTAAATCACTTTTATTTACACATTCTATCGAACTCTTAAGTAGTACTAGGTATCTTTCCAGCATGATTCACCAGCATTATGTATCATCATAATTAATTTCATAGTTAAAACAGGATCTTTTACTACTTTTAAAATCGAATCAGATAAATCTAAATTATTGCACTATAGAAATGAATTACAATTCCTCTAAAGATATGAGAACGTGTATATACCACTAACCTAAATAAACATATAATATTGCACTAATTAATAACTAAAAATATAAATTGGATCACTACATATTAATGTAATAACTGCCAGGTTAATGAGACACGCATTAACTTACATATTAATTCAAGCATGAAACTTTTAAGGTGCGTTTGATTGTGAGCATGAAATTTCCATGGAAAGGAAATATTTTTTAGGTAATCCAATTGCCTAGAAATTATTTACAAGGAAAATGTTAATTACATGTATTTTATTGACTTAATATTCAACCTAGAAAATATTTCATTTTTCCATCTTTTGGTGTTTGATAGCCATTACTTTTCATGGAAATAATAATTTTTTTCATGAGAATTAGTCAATCAATTTTTTGAAGTGCTAAACAATGGTGCCTTCACAATTAAATAATATTGCATGAAGACCATGATTATTATTATTTTTTGAAGAAGTCATATTTCGACAATATTGTTACAATAAGTAATAAAATTGATAACAAATAAGGAAACGGCCTCACCAATTTAGATTTATACTCATATACTGGAATTAATTTTTCTTCATTTCAATGAAAGGTAATTATCAGATAATCAAATAATCAATGATGAGATTATGTCCAGCATAAAACATGAGAACAAAAAAATAAAAACCAAAAAATCTCTATTGTAAGAAAGTAGCAATTCAAACCAACGTAGATATCATACTTCTACATATATTTGTTGAATTATCCAAGCATGCCATCTTAAAGTAGTGGAGGTGGATCACGACCAAGGTTCTCAAATACCAAATCACGCATGAAGTCTTCATCAGTCAAGCTCATAAATATTCTATCCTGACTCTCATTAGACCGAAATACTTTGATGAGGTGCATTATGTCATGCTTATCTATATTCACGCCTTGTTATTTTTCTAGAACCAATTGCCAATTGATATGGTTGAGCGTATCTAATTTTACTTGAATCTCCATAGCATT